CCTCCCTCCCTCCCTCTCAGTCTCTCCAAAAGTCAATGGAAAAAACAGCCTCGGGTGCGGATTAACAAAACAAAACAAAAAGAAATGATGTTAGGTTATCTGAGCGGTTGATGATGCCTTTCCTGCATGCACCAGCTTGCTGGTTTCTGAAGTTGAACCCCAGAGGGCAGAGCCCCTGCGCGAGGCAGGACGCACCCCAATCGAGTGCCTCTTTCGCAGAGCCTCCCGGGGAGCAGGGAAGACACTCCCACAGGCTGCATCCAGCGCTGTCAACTTCAGAACCGTCCCGACGGGATCCTTTCTGAGAATAGCTCGGACACTCCTCTTGAGCAATACTTGTTTGTTTACTTGTTCTGAAGAGCAAAGAGATGACGCACGACGGACTGGACAACCGGCCAATAGTGGCCCAGACGGCTTTCGGGATGGACGGTGTCTTCCAATCAGAAAGAGGAGGGGTGGGGCCAGGCCTGAGCAGGTGAGCTACCTCTCAGCCGGACTTGCCTTCCATGTTGAGTGTGGCAAAAATAACTCCAATGTGTTCTGGGTTGCAGGTTCATGTTTCACGCCCCGTTTAACAGATTCATAGAAATAGCTGGACAGAAATGATTTACAGCCGTGTGACATCGGTAATGCTGGGATGGCATATAAGATTTTTATCGGTTAAATTATTTCCCCCATGATGACGGTCATTGAATGTTATGGAAAAAGGAATAGAGTGAGAGAGATTTGAAACTGACACCGCTTGGCTTCCTACAATGATTATTTGATAGTTTAAAAGCACCATGAGATTCCTGGAGAAAATACTGAATACATTTCAATGAAAGGTGTGCTTTTGCTTTTCCCTTTTATACGGATTGTTTCAAGGAACAGTAATATTTATGTCGTTCATGTAAAAATAAATCATACTATGCTTATATTAGCTATCTTAAAATAATTCATGAATAATAGCTATTTGCCACTCTGAATCTTGCTCACTATGCCAAACTTCTATTTAATTGCAATCTGGGGCAATTTTTTACATACACTCAAACACACTTGTTTTCAAAAGTTGCATGAAGTTACTCTTTTAAAAATTTGATTTTAGAGAGAGAGTGGGAGAAAGAGAAACATCAATTTGTTGTTCCACTTATTTTTGCATTCTTTGGTTGCTTCTTTTTAAATTAAAATTTTTTTCATCATTTATCTCCTCTAGGCCCTCTTCCATCTGCCCCCAA